ACACCTGCCTTCTAAAACCCAATCCTGCTTTCAGACCGAAGTTACTTAGTTTCGAACGTCAGATATTTTACAATCCATTTCGAATTTGCATATACTCTTTCATTCTAAAATGCAACCAAAAAAAGAATTCATACACTACCTCCGATTCTGCAGTTCCCTCGAAAACCATACCCGAATTCCAGACCAAAATCTTTAAATGTGCAAAGTCTATACCAGCGCTAGCTGGAGCCATAATCGGCGTAACGTAGGAGACCGCAAGCGCGGGGTCAACGCAGTATCATCGAAATTAGAGCCAAATGTGCTAGTTTTAGAATAAACTGCGCCACCCTCAACGTCACACATTCGCACGGGAACCGGCGAATTTGCGCGGCTCTCGAGTGGAATTTCAGGGGATGGGCGATCGTTTCGCGACTTTTTGAGTGCTCTCTGAACTTTCCAAGTGCTTCATATCTCAATAGAGAATGCATACATAGTGCATGGAAAAAGAGCCAATGTTATATAAACTCTACAGTAACTAGGAATACGTTTATCGCAAGAACCACGCGAGGCTGTAATGAGCCAGCACTAAGAATTATGGGAAACAAGCCATAAAGGGGAAAATAGGATAAAATAGAAAAACAAAACCAAAAAATCATACAACAAAGAAAAAACAGTCAAGCCCAGAGTCGAACCAGGACCCTTAGCATGGACGTTCGGCTCCTAGACCACTGCGCCACGCTGCCAATGACAAAGATAAGTAGGAAAATTTAATATATATCTAAAGTACAGTAGAACCTCTCGTAAGCGACCACCCAAAATGCAGACTTATCGGTCGCTTATGGGAGTTGGTCGCTTACAAGAATCGAACCACAGGCTGGAACCACGGGGGGCATCTTCCGAGAAGAGGTCTCGGCACATCTACTTTGTGGAAGATAACTTATTGCATTCAATTTCTAAGTTATGTCATGTGTAGTTCCAAGTTGTTACTAAAGTTCTTCGCATATGCTAAGTAGGATAAGATCAGAGAATTCGTCAAGTGGTAGCTTACAAGAGGTTAAAAACAATGCAAAGTATTTAAACTTTCAGGCCCAAAAAGTGGACGCAGTCGCTTACAGGAGGTGGTTGTTTACTAGAGGTACCAGCTGTAAGGCTTTGGCTTTAGTGTTTTGGATAGGCGGTCGCTTATGAGAGGTGGTCGCACATAGAGGTTTGGGTGTATTATTTCCGTGAAATTCTGCCGGTAGACGCCGTATTGATCATGAATTCAATGATATATTTGAGGAATATTAGCCATGAATATTTGTTGTTATTGTTGTTGTTAACTTCCCGCCCTCCTCTTCCCGATCTTTCCCCTCAAGTTTTATTATTTTTTTTTGTTTCATCCGAACAAGATATTCATCGCACGTCATCTCCGTCATCTCTTCGTCACTGGATTTGTGAAAAAAAAAATTGCCGGATTAGCATAAGCGGTATTGGCAATTACCTTGATTAAAGATAAAGATTAAAGAGTAACATTCACAGTCCTCACATTTAGAGTAATAGTATTTATTCGAATAAGTGCCCAACCTCGAATAAGCGCCTATCCTACAGGCAAAAAAAGTTAATAAGCGCCCAGCCTTGAATAAGCGCCCAATCCCCAGGTCCAACCTACCATATCCCCGCCCCGCGCAGCCAACAGAATAAATACCCCCTTTACGCCGCCGTCCTCCACATACACGGTCGTCACACACATTTAGAGTGTGCAAGCCAACCACCATCCTGCTACATTCAATTTTTTACCACACACAGATCACCACACAGAAGAATACCTATAAACCCCCCCCCCCCCCCCCCCCCCCCCCCCCCCCCCCTCTCACTCAAACTCAAATAAGCTGTATCTGTTTCTCGGGCGACTTACCCAATTGCCGACGTTACGATGTCAGACATCGAGGAGGCAGCACCAGAGAATTCACTTCTTGACTTGAGTCACAATGAGATTGAAATTGAAATTGAATAAGCCAATAGACTTCCCCGAAGACGAGTTTTCTTCAGAGTATTTTACAGAGACCTTGCTTTGTTACATCTTCGCGTTTTGTTATTAGCATTTATTGTTTTGTTGCAAAATAAACATACTATACTTGCTGAAAATGGTGAAAATTTAATAAGCGCCCACCTCGAATAAGCGCCCACTCACAAGGTCCAAAATATTATATAAGCGACCAGGGCGGTTAATCGAATAAATACCGTGTTGTCAAAGAGGTTTTCCTCATACAAGGTCTCGACTCAAATTTAGAGGAGGCAATGATGACGGAAATGAAATTTATTCAATTTTTAAATAAAAAATCTGTATCTGAATCTGAATCATCTCCTACAGAGGTAATTTCCCACGCCGTTTTGTTTGTTCGTCCCTTGCTCGGCGCCCACGCAAAAAAAGAGGGCGAGTGTCACACGAGATGGCACTTTTTGTGCTAAAAATAGCACATATGGCTATTTCGATGGAATCAACCCCTTTATTGGAAAATGGCATGCACTTACGGTCTCCTACCCCGATTATGGCTCCTGGTCTATACACGTTTTCAGACCGAAACAGCGCAAAAAACATACCCTTTGGGGCGGCACATACCCATATGGTTTGTATAAGGGAGTACCATCCGCCGGGCTGTATAATTCCGGCCAACGGGAACAAGTACATGTGTACTCATAAATGACTTTCCTTGTCGGAGAGGAAAATTTGATGCGACGAGTGTTTTATTTATTTATTTTGACTTTTTTCTTGGCAGTGACATGACTATAAAATTGAAGCTTTATTTCAAGATCCTTTTTAGGTACGAGCAAAATTTAAGTGAGGTAAGTAATATGTTCATCAATGTACCCTACAGAAGAGACCACCTTCGGATTGTCCCGAAATGAAGGCAGTGAGAAGTCCTTCCATTTGGTCAGCGGGCAGGCGAGAAAACAAGGTAAAAGAGAGGACACTGGGTACGAGATTGCCGTGAGCAATAATTTGTCTTTGCGGTTTCGACTGCGGTTTCAACTGCCAAATTTACCAGTGTTTTAAAGCCAGAAGAATCTAAAGGTTTGTCCCTTATGACCCTTGTGTTTTTACTTATTTGGAAAGAACCGCTAGCTTTCATTTACAGGTCAAAGATTAGTTTCAGCGTCACTTGAATTTCAGGGAGACGCACTGTTGCTTTTTTCCAGTTATTTCTTCCAGAATCAGTGTCTCGTAAATTCTTATAAATACACAGCTAACATGACAAATTGACAATGATTTTAACTTTAATTAACAAAGCTTCACAATTATTTAGCGTATTAAAATAAAAGGGAAGACAATCTTTAAAGTTACTACAGCCACAGTAATGCACAAGTCAGTGGTAAGCCCCGCACCCCCCTACCCGAGGAATAGCGGGGCATTAGACCAAGCTTGTCTTCTAAGGCCCGGTTTAGACACCGAACTTTTCATGAGCTGAACCCAATTCGAATTAAGGCCGACCCAAACTATTTGGACCAGCTGAATTGATTCAGACGCTGATCTTATTGCAGCTAGACTATGTTCAAAAGGTGAAAAAAATGCTCGTTTCGGTCAAACTGCTTACAAAATACGTTATAATTTATGCATTAGGTTTGGTACATGAAAAGCTCGGTGTCTGAATCAAAGCCGTTCCAAAGTCGCACAAGAGGCGAAATTCCCGGCCAGGTTAGGCGAAAAGAACGGCTAAGCCGTTCCAAATTGAGACAGGCGCTCCTAACTGATTCAGACGCCGAACTTTTCATGAACTTAATTCAATGTATTAGGTTCGGCTCATGAAAAGTTTGGTGTCTGAACCGGGCGTTAGTTAAGTAAATTCCCCACTATGTGAAGAAATTTTGTGCGTCAAAACGTCACTTTTATATCCTGACCTGCGTGGCAATATAGTACTTCAAAAATCATAAAATAATGTGCAATGTTGCCAAAATTAAGTTTTAGAATTTTGGCCTTGAATTGAACTTTTACAAAAGTAATAGTAAAATCAATGCATTTCTTACACAGTCAAAATTCAGTCAAAATTGTAAAGATGAGATATTAGTCATTATTTTTAATATCAATTCATTAAATATCTTTATTATTCAATCAAAATATTTCCTCAACTCTGATTGGCTAAAAGCCCACTCATAGTTCACCATAACCAGTTACTGCTGACCAAATTTGGAAGAATTTTGTGCTTAACGAGGAAATGACCTCAAAAATGCAGCCTGCTACAGGTTAAGGCACCGTTACCGAGAAGACCTGGGGACAAGGTTGAGTTGTTTTGGTTGTCAAAAAAAAAGGCGGACATTTGACTCATTTCAAGAGTAAGAACTACAGCTGAAACTAGGCGAAATAATAGCCAAAAACATGGCAAAAACAGCAAGAAGACAACTCGGCGGGATATTTGGAGAATATTTGTGGAGCTGGACAAACATACACGTACACTATCGAAGATGAACTTAACATCGATGCAGGTAAGCATGTTTTAGCTATGTTTTTAAACTAGGAATTATTTTGAATGAATAATAAAGCAATTAATGAATTCCGCTTTCGGAGGATATGAAGAATTAATTCTTCATATCCTACTCAGCCTCATTCATTAATTGATAAATAATATATATTAATGTAAAAACTAGAACTGGACAACTGAAAAAAAAAAAAAAAAAAAAAAAAAAAGAAAAAAAAAGCCATTTTGAAAAAAATAAACGAATAGTATTAAAAATTATTTTTTAAAAATAAAAAATTAATTTTTTTCTTTTCAATTCTTTTCTTATTATTTATAATGTTCTATTTTATTATTCTTTATCTAAAAAAAAAAAAAAAAAAAAAAAAAAAAAAAATGGAAACTACAGCCATTTTGAAAAACATTAACGATTGGTAGTAATAATTATTATTCAGAAATCAAAACTCAATTATTGAGTTTGCCAAGCTTTCCTGTTCAGTTATAAAGGAGTATCGAGTGAGAGATGAGCCAGTCAAGTTGATCATGATACCCTCATTATAAATTTATTAATACTGGCACTTCACTGCATGTTCAAAGGTTTAGCATTTCATCATCATCTTCATCATTATGGTCATCATTATCAGCAAGACTGTTGACCTTCTGTCCAATATTTGTAGTTTCTATTTCAATCCCATTTCCGTTATTTACAGCATCACCCTGAGGGGCATGGGTTACTTTACAGTACTTAAAGCACATGTACATTATCACCACAATGGCTGTCGCAAGGAGCAAGACCAGTACTAAACAGCCAATTTTCCAAGCTTTGTTCGACCTTGAGTGGCCTGCAGGATTGGAGGAAAAAAAGGAAAAGAAGAGTACAATGGTATTAATTCATTTTATTCATAGTAATAGATAGTAATTATCATGTTTGATTCGCATGGAAAACCTACAATCCACGACAGACAGTTTCATTTAATTAAGTAATGACAATTATATAATGTGCTAATCGAATGACCACATGTTTTGGTACAGTTAGACCAGGTGTCCCAGGTGCAGGCCATCAATTAGTGATAAAGAAAATGACCTGGACATTATGTAGATGTATTATTATTATTATTATTATTATTATTATTATTATTATTATTATTTTATTATTATTATTATTAATTTTATCATGTTAAATCTTTATCTTTCATAATTAAATTTGGTAATCCCAGTGAAGTTCCAGAATAACGTAAAAGCCCCAATTGCACAAGAAAGCAAAATCCTGAAAGATTCTGGTAGTGTTAGTCAAAAGACAGGTCATCATGCAAATTGCTCACTCAAATCCCCTTCAATAGGTTTTATTGCATTTATACTCAAATCTAAAAATAGGATTCCATTTCAATAACTTAAAATAAAATGTTTTTAACAGCTGGCCATAAACATTACTTAATTAATAATAGACTCTAGACATTCAATTCATCTATAACACTCTAATACACAATTGTACCTGGACAAACTTGAAACAGACACACTTGTGCTTCAAATGGTTTACCATCACATGTTACTCCACCAAAGGGAGGATAAGAATTGTCACATGTACGTTCATGCGTGCTTATCCCATGACCACATGTTTTGGTACAGCCAGACCAGGTACCCCAGTTGGACCACTGTCCATCAACTATGTGATAAAAGTAGAACATTCTTGATGCAGATGTCTTTTTTTTCTTTGTTATTGAATGAAATTTTTTATTCTATTAAATATAGAATATAATATATAGTTAATATATTATTATATAACTGAATTTAGATACAAAAATGTTCTGTTGATCAGGCCCTGCACAGGGCCTACCAGTGATAAAATACCAGTTCTACCAGTGATAAAAAAGACCATCAGCGCAGAATGTTGTTTTTATTATTAACCATTGCAAGATCACTTACAAGTGCAATGATCTTAAAGTCTTCTGTCCTGTCCTTGCCTATAAGTCACATAAATTTTATTTACTATTATAATGGACAGCCTTTTTTAGCAGGCTTCTATGTGTAGCTTACCTGACCATGCAGTTGTAGTGGCTGGCAGTGTAGTTGGTGGAGAAGCTAGGATTAAAAAATAAATCACACAATTTTAGATTAAACATTTAACCTGATTTTTTTATTATAAACCTGAGCATAATATTAAGCAATACCTTTTTTAAAACCAAAGGGTTGAAAATCACAACTACAAGTCCAAAATAAATAATACTTAAATTAATGTCACCAGTGTAGAATATCTAGTTGACTCAGGGTATTAAACTTGAAAGAGAAGTTGTAAATTTGGCAACTACAATCCTCAAGGTCACTTTAACTTAAAGTTATCATGTAATCATGGTCAATGTGCAATGCTATACTTCAAAACATATTCTGGCTAAATTTAAACATGTTTTTTTTCTTTCTTTTTTTTTTAGTAACAAAATACAATATGGTTAACTGAGGAGTGATTACAATAACTTTTATTGTCCCATTTTTTTTGCTTTTAGACTATGGGCAAGAGAAGGTAAAGAGCCAATATTAAACTTTGAAGCTGCTGTTTCAACCTGTAAGTAAGTATAAATTCCTTTTCTCAATATCTATTGAATATTGTATTCAAACTTTCTTTTTCAGTGTCTTTCTGTATTATTCATCCTATCAGCAGTCTGTTGTTTGAGTCATCCAGTCCTGCCTCAGTAATACCTTGGGGAGGCTGAATTGAAATCCCCATACCTTGCATTTTCATTAATAAAGGTGAATAATCAACCCAGACTCGTGATATACCTGATTGAAAAAATGTCACTTACAAAGACAGTATAAACCATGAAAGATTAGGCTTCAAGGATTTATGAGTATACATCTGTATAAGCAAAGTTCAAAGTTCTCTCAACAATTTAAGTTAAGCTGCTTGTGCGGATGCAAATCCCTAGATTTCTTTGTTTAAGACATGCTCAGGTGTCTTAAATGAAAGCTTTTAGGTCCTTTGATCTTTATAATTTTCAAGTGTGCGTTAGCGATATGGCTACGCTCTTTAACTGTCGAGATCTCTGATGTGCCCTGCCTAAATGAAGTTGTGAGCTTATCGCCAAGAAAACTGGAAACCTTTTGCCTTTTTTTGGGATGCATCATCATAAAAAGCTTCGATAATGTAAACTTTTCTGGAATTAAAGAACTTTAAATTTGTAATTCTAATAAAGTTCTACCCATAAATCCATTAGGTCCCATCTTTCATACATGGTTTATACTTTAAAATAGGCTGCTCTAATACCAGGTGCTGGTTAATCTAGTACCCAAATGTCTTGTTTACGAAGCTGAGGGCAAGATTTGGTCAAGTAAGAAAATTCATTATTGTTTGTATGAGAATGATGTGAGTGTTGTCTACCAGCTGCGCATACTAGGGTGTGTGCAATTCATTCTTTGCAAAGTCTTCATTTATCTCATCTTTAAAGACTTTTCAAAACTCTCTCGTTGGTATCAAAATTAAGACTTTGGAAAAGGGAAAAAAATGCTTGCTTGAAGTTAATGTGTACTGGTTTGAGCTTTTAGTGCATGCTATGTAATTAAATTTAAATGAACTTTGAATTTGATGTTACATAGAAAAACAACAATGACTCAGTTTGCTCATACTTCAGATATGCGGCTCTATCAAATTCATTGTTTAACATGTCTATAATTGAGGATTTCGAGCATACGCCCTTTTATTGCCTTTCGCATCCATGACAACTGGCAATCACTTGTACAAATCTGCCTTTGGCTTTGTCAAGAAGAGATCTGGGTACGAGATTAGGCACTGGGTTAAGGTGAAAGGAGAAATCTCGAGGATGCACAGCCCGTTAGAAAAAAAAAATTATAAAAATAACTGGCCCTTACTACACAGGCTATCTTTTCAAGCAACAACGTTTTTTCAGTCAGATATATACAGAGGTCTAGTCTACAGTCAATTTGACCAACATGACTTCGAAATTTTTGAAGGATAATACCAGTTACCTTTCTCTGGATCCAACCGTGTTAAAATAAAATGTAAGTTCTCTTGTTTGTCACCATATATGCTGCACCTATTTTACAGGAAAGATTGTAGGCAGATTAAATTTTACTCGCATGCAGGACTAGCTTAATACAGAGCTTGTATAGACAGACAGACAGACAGATAGACTTTACACGTATTTCAACATTCAGATTTAAAGAGTAGTGCTCATTGCTGATAGTATCTCCAAATGAGAGAAACAACGAAACCAATAAAAAAAAACCAATCGAGAAAAATCGTGAATAATATTACAAACAATTATTGGATGAGGTTTTTGTGGTATCCTGAATATCATAAGATCTAGGTAAGTGTTATCACCCGAGCCAAAGGCCGAGACTGATTACACTAATTACCAAGACCTTGATTATTAATAGGATATCACGAAAACCGAATCTAATAATTGCTTTATTGTACATTGTTTGGAAGAAAAAAGCTACATATACACACCGTCCCAAGGAACCTGAATTGATATTGTTTATTGGAAATCATGCATTATGTGCACAACCTACAGATTAGTCAGTTATCTGCTAGCAGATAACTAACTAATTTGTAGGTTGTGCTGATTTCCAAAATTAGCTCTAGGCTCTTAAAGCCAATTAGAAAACAAATAGTGAGTACAATGTAAAAAAATAATAATAATGTTGAACATATGACTATATATTTTACAACAATTTGCATCATTAAAGAAAAGGCAACAAATTAAATTACAATAACTCATAGTGTCGTCTAAGAATAGTATAAAAACTACCTATGTTACTGGTGACTGTATAAAAAGAGAGTTATGATGTCAGCATCATGTTTATTTCGAAACACTTAATTATTCCTAAAGAGTGACCAACTTCAGTTTGTCTGAACAGAGTCAATAAATTATTGAAATTATAAAAAGTTCCCCAAAAAGAAAAAAAAAATGCCTTCTTTCCAAAATTCTGCGTTTAAGGAAGAACAGTCTTGAGAATTACTTGTGGATATTGCTGGGGATTAAGTATGCTTATCTGCTTTTAAAATGATAATTTGCTTGTGATGCCAAAATATAAAGTAATGTCAAAATGTAATCAATTAAGGTGGCCATTTCCAGATGCATTCATTTTATTTTTCACTGGTTGATTTAATTTGCGGTTAACAGTGAAAACCTTAAACACTTTGAATCAAAATGGTAGAAATTTCTTCTAACTCCAAAATTGTTTAATTATAAGCCAGTACCCTATTCAAAGAGCTAGGGAAAATTGAGACACATGATAAATTTTATAACAAAGTATTTTTCACAATTATTGTCCTATTACAATGAAGCCAAAAAATAAGTAAATAAAAAATAATTATTAAGATCTCTGTTACCTATACAAATTTTAATATATTAATTCATTTTATTTTATTTATTTATTTTTTATTTTATTTCGCCTATTACTGAAACAATGAATAATAAATGCTAAATAAAATTAGGCTGGGTTGCCACAACAGCAGTGAGCCAATTACAGTGATCACATTTAATGCAAACTGTACCTCCCTTTGTAAAATCTGTTTCTAAATGGAGGTAAAATTAATGTTATTTTTGATACCTGATTTCCATTCCAATGTCTTTCTCTGTCACATTTCCTATTTTTAGGAAATAGTCTTTATACAGACTGTATCTTGAGGCATCAACGCCTGAGTTTATGTGCCAGCTAGTGTTCCTATTGATGTTTCTGTCAATTCCCAGAAGGTACGTCCAGTTATCATAGGTAGGGTGATGCAAATACCACCCCACTTCCCGCACCATTTTTAAATCACGGTGTTGAGGCGCACAGAATAAAAGTGCATCTCCATGAATGAGTACTGGCCATAACACCGGATTGGAGGGTCCGGTGGCTTCTAACAAACAATAGAGAAAATCAAGTTTAAACATAATACACTCCTTATAATTTACACAATCTTTGTTTAAGACTAATAAAGAAAGAAAGCAAATGTAAAGAAGAAAATATACTTGAGTATATTAATTATTAAAAGTAACTCAATGTAGCATTAATTATAGGCTACTACTGTCTATTTCTTTACACTCATTTTAATTCGTTATTTACTAATTCACTTATCAATAAGCAACTTTGTAATTGAAGGAACTGTGGCTAAACTGGCACTGTGTGTGTCATTAATTTAGCAAACGTTTTCGAACCCACGCCAGTGATAGCTCGTTTAGGTATGACAACCAGGGATTCATCGTAGCTAAGCGAAATGCTAAACTCGGACTTAATAGCATTGCCACTCTTTGTGACATTCAAGTAGCGAATTTAAACGATTAATTATTATCAGTTAGAGATATAGATCGTCTTTAGTCGACAAAAGCACACAAACAAACGCCTTCAGTTATTTTGGGCACCAGCATCTTTTATCAGTTGTCTGAGCTTAGTCTAATGTAACTCTCTGAATCTGCTCGTTTTTGCCGGCAAAAAAAGCCAAAAACTTCATAAAGAGTGGAATTCTACTCAATCAGTCAATGGATCGACGTTTTTTTTCATATATGTATTGTAAGGAATCTAGGAAAACGTTAGGTGTCATGGGATGTAACCCTCCTCGATGATTACGTGATTTAAGTTAACCGTTTAGCTTTGCCCAGCAAATGTAGCTATAGAAGAAAAATGAGTCGACTCCCGGTATCTTGAAACTAGCCCTATAACTCGATCTAAGAATTTGCTGCTTTACTAAAGTGATTTTTCCTTCGAGAACTCGAATCCTGGGGCTGTGAACTCGAAGATAAAACCCATCGGTTTGTTCAATTCATTTCTACGCTGATTTAAGTAGATTCAACGCTTTACGGTCAAGTCGCCCGAAAGTCATCTCGCCCGAAGTCATGTCGCCCGAAACCAGAGTCATGTCGCCCGAAATTTATAGTCATG